ATATTTCCTATGCTATACTTTACATTCCCATGACTATTTTGTAACTGCCAATATGTACTTCTCAATCCCTTCACCTTTTTAACCCAGACCCCCAGCCCCCTCCCTTCTAGCAACCATCAGTCTGTTCTCTGTGTCTATGAGCCTGCTTCTCTTTTGTTTGTTCATTTATATTGTTCTTTAGAGTCCACATATAAGTGAAATCATATGGCATTTGTCTTTCTCTGACTGATTTATTCCACTTAACATAATACTCTCTAGGTGCACTGGATGATCTGTTTTAAAATACTTCCCTGTGTTTTCTGATTTTTTAAATCTAAAAGATTTTATTTCTTTTTAAATAAAATGATCTGAAAAACAAAAGTCTTCGCATTCCTGAGCTAAATCCTACTTGGTCATGGTGAATGATTCTATTCATGTATTGAGTTCTGTTTGCTATTAACTATTATTTTATTTATAGTTTTTCATCTAGCACCTTGGCTTTTCTGTTCTCTCTTTTCTTCCCCTATAGTCTTTAAGATTGGATTTCAGGGTTGCATTGTCCTCATAAAATGAATTAGAGAATTTTCCATGCTTTTGTATAATTTGAAACTGCTAGCTGAGTATAGGAATAATCTGTTATAGATTGCTATTTTATTAGAAAAAGATAAAACTCAGGAACAGTCAGATGGAAGAGACATGTAGGGCAAGGTGTGGGGGAAGGGGCCTGGAGCTTCCATGCCCTCTCCCAGAGGGAAACCCTCCCAGCATCTCCACGTGTTTACCAACCCAGAAGCTCTGTCACTTTTGGGGGGAGGGGACGAGGGGGTAGAACTACAATATTAATGTCGTCTTCGGTAAAAGTAAGTCTTTCTAAAGAGTTTAATTTTTTTCTTTTCCACACCAGTATAACTGGTGAGGCTGAAACCCTGTGCAGAAGAGTCAGTGGCTGTGCTGACTCCCCATGCTCTGTGCATCCAGTGGTGAGGGTGCTTGGGCAAGGCTGCTGAACTCTGGCGTCAACTGCTCCAGGGGAGGCCCCACCTGTCGCCACTGGTCTCGGGTTTTATTGTGCAAGCGTGAGAACTGCCTGGCATGCTGAGTGAAGAGATGGGGAATACACTTTTGGGATCTGAAACCAAGTAGGCTGAGCTTGGGTGCCAGCTGGGAAAGACCACATGCCTGGCACCCACAAACCGGCGCCCCTTCAGTGGGAAGTTGAGTCTGAGTTTGGTAGGCACGCACACTCCTCCCATCCGCACTGGGGAGCCACACGTTCCAGCTAGTTTATTGCCAGCTGTCACTGAGAGCGCCTGGGATCATTCATCGAATAATCCTACTTGTCTCTCCTCGCTGAAACAGTTATACAGTATTGTCCTTTGTTTAAACAGGGAGTGTCCGCAAATGTGGGTAGTTAAAAAAATACTGAGATTTAGGAATACTGTGATTACGCTATCAGACCTTCTCAAAGAGATTTTCCTTAGTAGTCTCTAGATAATTCAAAATGCATATACGTGTGTTTTATGTTACTTTTTCTAGCCGTCAGATTACTAAAGATTTCTGAACTATCCTGGTTATAAAATGTGCCGCTTCACTGCAGACACAGGACTAGTTTTCATCTCTAGCCACAGGAGGGCGCACAAATACATTTATCAAGTGAGGTTTTGTTGAAAAGGTTTGGGATGATCTTTACTTGGGTTTGAGAGAAAAACCATGAGCACTATTGTACTCTTGTTAGTGAAGAGCTGCACTGATAGAAGTTTCTGCGATGGTGGAAGTGTTCTGTGTCTATGCTATCCAATTGGATAGCCACATATGGATGTTGAACCCTTGAAATGTGGCTAATGCGATCAAGGAAATTAATCTGAAATTTTAATTTAATGATACATTTCAATAGCCACATGGGGCTGGTGGCTGCCGTATTGGACTGTGTAAGTCTAGAGTACTAGAATATAGGAATATAGGCTTTTCTGAATGGCTTCATGATATTGGCATTTAAACAACTTTGAATCTAACAATAATTTAAGAGGTAAAGGAAACTAGCATTGATGTTCCTATTATTGACCAGCTACTGTGCCAGGCATACTTCTAGATCCATCTCACTTGACCCTTACTGGCACCTGAGAGATGGATATTAGTGTGTCCATTTTGTGACTGAAGAAGCAGACTCCAGAATGATGAAGTAACTGGCCCAAAGTCATCGAGATAGTCGTTGAGCCAGATATGCCCATCTAATATTTTTGAGAACCTACAATGTGCCAATAAATATACCATCTAGGGCCTAGGTTCTAGGCACTATTATAGACACTGGAAATCTGTAATAGGAACCGATACTTGATATGGGGACCTTTTTAGTAAATGTTATAGTTCTGTCCAATGTCGCATTTTCTGATTTATCTGAGGATGAGTCGTACATTTATGCACGTCATGTTCTCAGAGTTGAAAGGAACCTCCAGGTTAACTCTGAGCACTATCTCTGATGCATGACATTCTCTATCACCATGAACTCTGATCTAGGTAGGGGGATTCCTACTGGGTTCCAATTCTGTCACTAACTAGGCCTATGATCTTAAGTAGATGGTTTGCCTTTCCAGAGCTAGAATTTCTTCATTTCTCAAAACATGCTTTTAGCCTAGGTTACCAGTGGTTGGCAAACTGCGGCTCAGCAAACCGCAGCTCGTGAGCCTCATGCGGCTCTTTGGCCCCTTGAGTGTGGCTCTTCCACAAAATACCGGCTCTTCCACAAAATACCGACTTCTGCGCATGGGCCACGAAGTTTCAATCGCACTGTACGTGCGCGCCCGCACGTGGTATTTTGTGGAAGAGCCACACTCAAGGGACCAAAGAGCTGCATGTGGCTCACGAGCCATGGTTTGCCGACCACGGGCCTAGGAGATCTCCAAGGGCTATTTCATATTTTACTGATTCTAAGACTCACATTTTTCACATTTAGAATTTAAAAAAAATCCTTACCTGAGGATATTTTTCCATTGATTTTCAGAGAGAGAGAGTGGAGGAGAGAGGGAAAGACAGAGAGAAATATTGATGTGAGAGAAACACACTGATTGGTTGCCTCCTGCATGTGCCCTACCAGGGCCTCACCAGGGAGGAGTCTGTACTGAGGTATGTGCCCTTGGTGGGAATCGAACCCAGGACCCTTTGGGTCCGCAGTCTGACACTCTATCCATTGAGCCAAACAGGGTAGGGCTATTTTTCACATTTTAACATCAGGTTCTTCTTGACAGTCAGTGACACTTCAGAGTAAAGTTGGCAGCATTTTTTCTTTTTTTAAAAAATTTTATTTTCTTGTTTAAAGTATTACAAATAGTAGTATATATGTCTCCTTTTTTTCCCCATTGACCTTCCCTTTTCCTCCCTTACCCCCCCCCCCAGTGTCTTGTATCCATTGGTTATGCTTATATGCATGCATATAAGTCCTTAGATTGATCTCTTACCCCCCCTCCCCCGAACACTCCCCAGCCTTCCCGCTGTAATTTGACAGTCTGTTCCATGCTTCTCTGCCTCTGTATCTATCTTTTTGTTCATCAGTTTATAATGGTCTTTATTATCCATAAATGAGTGAGATCATGTGGTGTTTTTCTTTCACTGCCTGGCTTATTTCACTTAGCATAATGCTCTCCAGTTCCATCCATGCTGCTGTGAATGGTAAGAATTCCTTCTTTTTTATAGCAGTGTAGTATTCCATTGTGTAGATGTACCATAGTTTTCCAATCCATTCATCTGCTGATGGGCATTTAGGCTGTCTCCAAATCTTGGCTATTGTAAATTGTGCTGCTTTGAACATAGGGATGCATATATCCTTTCTGATTGGTATTTCTGTTTTCTTGGGATATATCCCTAGAAGTGGTATTACTGGGTCAAATGGCAGTTCCACTTTTAAATTTTTGAGGAAACGCCATACTGTTTTCCACAATGGCTGCACCAGTCTGCATTCCCACCAGCAGTGAAGGAGGGTTCCCTTTTCTCCGCATCCTCTCCAGCACTTGTCGTTTGTTGACTTGTTGATGATAGCCATTCTGACAGGTGTGAGGTGGTACCTCATTGTTGTTTTGATTTGCATTTCTCAGATGATTAGTGACTTTGCGCATGTTTTCATGTGTCTCTTGGCTTTCTGAATGTCCTCTTTTGAAAAGTGTCTATTTAGGTCCTTTGCCCATTTTTTGATTGGGTTATCTTTCTTTTGTTAAGTTGTATGAGTTCCCTGTAAACATTGGAGATTGAACCCTTATGGGAGATAACATTGGCAAATACGTTCTCCTATGCAGCGGGCTTTCTTGTTTTGTTGATGGTTTCTTTTTCTGTGCAGAAGCTTTTTATTTTATGTAGTCCTATTTGTTTATTTTCTCCTTAGTCTCTCTTGCCCTAGGATCTGTGCCTGTAAAGATATTGCTATGACATATGTCTGCAATTTTGCTGCCTATGGAGTCTTGTAGGGTTTTTATGGTTTCCTGTCTTACATTCAAGTCCTTTGGCAGCATTTTTTCTTAGACTAAATGAAATATGGTCTGTGTACTTTTATTTTTAAAAAATTATTATTATTACTAAAGGCCCAGTGCATGAAATTCATTCATGGCGCGGGGGGGTGGGGGGTGGGGAGAGGTCCCTCAGCCTGGCCTGCACCCTCTCACAATCTGGGACCGCTGGCTCCTGACTGCTCGCCTGCTTGCCTGATCATCCCTAACTCCTCACCTGCCTGCCTGTTCGCCCTAACCCCTCTGCTTGCCTGCCTGATCACCCTTAACTTCTCACCTGCCTGCCTGATCGCCCCTAACCACTCTACCTGCCTGCCTGATCGACCCTAACTGCCTCTGCGTTGGCCCCTGCTGCAGGGGCTTTATCTGGAAGACCGTCCGGAATGACGCCTGGAAGGTCGTTCAGCTGTGTGGTCTAATTAGCATATTACACTTTTATTATTATAGATTATTTTTACTCAAAGCCTTTTTATTATAGTACATGGCTTGGGACTGATGGGATGGGGTAGATGTGGGCAACAATTGCCCTGATTAGCATTGGATGCCCATCTTGATAGCCATGTATATGCTAAAGGTGCTGCCACTTTGCATCATGGCTTTCCCAATGCCGCCAATCAGCTCCTGAACCCACATTCCAATCCTGAAGCAGGAAAATGTGCCAAAGAGCACCCCAGCCATCATGCCCACGGTGCAACCCATCACAAAGCCCATCTTCACGCTGTTGAAGCAGCTTGGCTGAGACTGTCCATAGGGACCCACGGCCACTGGCATCTCGCTTGCGGCCTCAATCGCTCAGCGCTGTTTCTTTCACATGGAACGCGAGGGGTAGCGTGCTGGTGGTCTGTGTAATTTTAGAATATTGGTGAAAATATTTATATTAATATACACTTTGAAATCCCCGAGAGGCAAAGACAATGACCTTTTATTGTGATTCTAAATCCAGTGTAGAATATTAAATTGCATATGTCATAATCGGTTCTTTCTTAAGTGGCCAAGTCATGACATGCAACACACAAACTCAGAAGTCTGCTACATCGTACTGAAATCAGCCAGATTAATCTTAGGCAAAGTTGGAGGGTGGATGAAGTTTTGTTTGTCTTGAGAGTTTCCCATCCTTTAAAAAAATTTTTATCTTCTTCAGGTACTCAGAGCTCTTAAGCATCATTTCCTCCATGATACCCTCTGTCGTTTCTCCTCTCCTTAACCCCTGTCTCTATCAGCTACACTTGAGAGTGAATTAATTATGGGCATATTTTCTCATGAAGATTTATGACCAAGGAAATCGCTTGGTACCAGTGGTGTATTGGTTTATACTTTACAACTGGCTCTCTGGGAATGGGGGTGGAGGAAGGCCTGATTTGTAGTGGTTGTCAATTTCTGTGGTATAAATACTCCCACAGTGGCTGATTTTAAGCTACCAATATGACGTCAACCACTTTGTAAAATTCCTGAAAATTTGACAGCTCTCTCAAGCCAATGTAACCCTGCTCCAGTATACAGGTCTGCCACAGTCCTGGGATGGTTTCTGATTGCCTCCAGGATAAAAGCCAACTTCTTTGGCTTGATATTTAAGGGCAGGGGATGATCCAAATCTCATGGGTTCCAATCCTTATGCAGTTTGGAGGTCCTCTTTAAGAACAGTCATACTCACTTAATAATACAACATTGGGTACAAAAAGGAATAATTATTTGGAATGAGAAAAGAAAGCATAACAAATTACAAATGTTAAAAAGCTGACAAATACCAGAAACATCACAAAACTTGAAAAAAAAATCACATAATACATTTGAAAGATCTTTCCATAGACTTGCTTCGGCTCTGTACATTTTAAACCTTGTTTCTTGTCCACTACCCACACACTTGTGGTGCCAGGTGCCCCAAGACATGATCATATTGCCATATGCCTGCTGGCAGTGGGCCATAGGCACATTCTTGGGAGCCCTTCCTACTTGGGATGGCTGGCAGTGACCTAACCATTTGTGGAAGTGATTGCAAACCATGTAAGGATATCTGAAACCCAGCGAAATGAATCTCCAACTCAACTTCCCCTTAGCTGGGCCCCCCAAATGCCTGTGGCCACTCCAGTGCCACTGAGCACAGGGGAAGTAGTCAGTCAGGGTTAGATCTTTGGCAGCTGTGGGAGCTGGTGGACGAGTCTGTGGGCTGCTGCCACTGTGTCTGTTGTTGAGCGGAAGTTGTTACAGTCAGCAGTTGGGGAGGAGAGCTGAATGTGGGAGATCTGGTGGCAGCCCAGTGCCATCCAAGTGGGGGATCGGATCAGTGACACTACTGCGTGCGAGTTGCCATGGTGCCTGGCACCCTGGACTAACCTTCAGAACTTCAAAAATAGGACTGCCGGTTCGCATCTGCCTCCCACAACATGTCTTTAGTGGCCAGTGCTAACCTGGAACCATACAGGGGGAAAAAAAACACAAAGAAACATAGTCCAGTTTAGCTAAGTTGATGCAGAACTAAGCTATTACAGGAAGTGTGAGGGAGGGGACACTGGAATGGAAAGAGATGGTGTTTTTCACTGATTGCAGCTTAAGCATTTTACTTTTGCAAATTTAAACATGTGGCTATGCAAACATGTTGCTAGGACCTTTCCTTAAGCTTCATTAACTTCATGATAAATCCATCCTGGTAGAGTCATAGAGTCAGTAGCACCGAGTTCCAACCCACCTCTAAACCTTACACACACACACACACACACACACACACACACACACACACACACACACACACACACTGAGCTCTATGTACCAGGCATATTCTAGGCACTGGGGGTCCAGAAGTGAGCAAAACTGACAAAAATCCTTTTCCTGGTGGTGAGGTGGAGTAGATGAAACAAAGAAACATTTTTGTAATGCTGATAAGTGCTCTGGAGGACAGTAAAGCAGAGAAAGGAAGCTAGGGAGTGGGAGTGTGCTGGGAGGAATTTTTTGGATGGTTAGAGAAGACCTTACCGAGGACACTGAGCACAAATCTGAAGGAGGGGAGGGAAGGAGCCACAGGGCTATCTGGGACATAATGTCCCAGACCAGGGAATTGGCCCAAAGTCCCCCAGCCAAGTGAATTGAGCTTGCTTTGTTCTAGCAGAGCAGCTCAGTGATCTATGGCTAGTGGTGGGAGAAGAAGGCAGACATGTGGGTGAGGGTGGTTCCTGCAGGGTCTGGTGAGCGATTAGTCTTTCACTTGGAGAACAAGAGGAGTGACATGATGGAGGACAGAAATGGCCTTAGGGGGTCCAATTAGGAGGCCTTCACAGTAATTCTGACCTGAACCTTCTGCTCCCAGCACCAGTGACAGTTTGCCCAACACACCCTTTCCCATTTGCTTTGTTTTTTTAATCCTCATCCACCCGGATTGTGCTTCCTGTTTCCTCTTCTCATTTAGATCAACTTTGATTTCAATTTTGTTTTTCAAATTTGATAATATAATTTTAAGTTTGCAAGATTGCCTCCTGAACCTGATAAAGATGGCAGATGGCCTGGCCAGTGTGGTTCAGTGGTTGAGCTTTGACCTATGATCATGGTTCGATTCCCAGTCGGTCAGGGCACAACCCCAGGTTGAGGGCTCAATCCCTGTGTGAGGCATGCAGGAGGCAGCCAATCAATGATTCTCTCTCATCATTGATGTTTCTATCTCTCTCCCTTCCTCTCTGTTATCAAGAAAAATATATATTAAAAAAAAAGACGGCAGATGAATTGCTTATGTGACAAGGTGTTTTCAAAAAGGAAGACTAGTATCTCCTTCTCAGGGGCTGGACTAATACTTGCCTGCCCCACCTTGCTCACCACATTTTAGTTCTGGTCCTGCAAGCCCCCAAGGATATTACAAAGGGGTAATTAGTCACTTTAAAGTGGAGAAACCTGGTAGACAGCAGACCCCACCTTAACCACTTTTCAAAGTTAACCTCACCAGGAATGGGAGAAGCTGACTTCATGATCCTCCTAATGTGCTACCACGAGAAGCACACAAGATCTCATGTGGTATTCCCATCCAAAAATGCCAAACTCAATCTAATCATTAGAAAACATCAGACAAAACCATCCCGTCCAATGTTGCGCAGTGGTTGAGCATGGACCTATGAACCAAGAACTCATTGGTTCAATTACCCATCAGGGCACATGCCCTAGTTGTGGGCTCAACATAGTAGGGGGCATGTGGGAGGTAGCTGATTGATGTTTCTCTCATCGATGGTTCTATCTTTCTATCCCTCTCCCTTCCTCTACCTCTAAAAATCAATAAAAACATACTTTAAAAAAGAAAACACCAGACAAACCCAGATTGAGGGACCTCCCATAACATAACTGGCCTGTACTCTTCACAGCTGTTGATGTCAAGAAAGGCAAAGAAGGCTGAGGAACTGTTTCAGGTGAAAGGAGACTGGAGAGACATAGCAACTAAATGCCTTGTGTAGTACTCTTGGTTTGGGTCCTGGACTGGAAAAAGTGCTAGAAAGGACAATATTGGGTCAGTGGGAAAATTTGACTATGAGCTGTAGATTGAATAATAGTATTATATCAACATTAAATTTCCTGATTCTTGTGATTGAACTGTGGTTATGTAAGAGAATATTTTTTTTCAAATATATTTTATTGATTTCTTACAGAGAGGAAGGGAGAGAGATAGAGAGTTAGAAACATCGATGAGAGAGAAACATCGATCAGCTGGCTCCTGCACACCCCTGGGGATGTGCCCGCAACCCAGGCACATGCCCCTGACCGGAATCGAACCTGGGACCTTTCAGTCTGTAGGCCGACGCTCTATCCACTGAGCCAAACCGGTTTCGGCAAGAGAATGTTTTTATTCTTGTGAAATACACTCTGAAGTTTTTAGGGGGTAGAGATGTATGATAAACTTACTCTCATAAGGATCAAAACTATCTATATTTACCTGCATTTATCTACATCTATCTATCTACCTATTGAGAGGATGATAAAGCAAATGTGGTACAATGTTAACAATTGAATTTGGGTGAAGGGGATATGTGATATTATTTGTACTATTTTTACAACTTTTCTATAAATTTGAAATTATTTCACAGTAAAACATTATTTTGTATTGACATTATTTTTAAAAGGTAGCTACAATTTTAAACTTGTAGATTAGGGGAGTGGAGACTGGAGCATTATTTATAGCAGGCATCTCGTTTGCTTTCAAAATAAGCACAAGTGTTATCAAATAGTCATCTTTCTGCAACAACAGGGAGGGTAAATCATTAATTTCTGATAGCTTTGAACTTGCAGTTTTCATTTGCATCTTAACTCCACTAGTTCTGTTAGAGTGGGCAATAAATAAGGTACAAATAGTTATGTTAAAATGACCAACCTGTTTATCTTTAGTTGCTTGAACAGACAGAAATGCACAAGAAAATTACTTGATGTAAGAATAGCATGCTATTAAAAAGTGAAGTGCTGCCCTAGCCGGTTTGACTCAGTGGATAGAGCGTCGGCCTGCGGACTGAAAGGTTCCAGGTTCGATTCCGGTCAAGGGCTTGGTTGCGGGCACATCCCCAGTAGGAGGTGTGCAAGAGGCAGCTGGTCAATGTTTCTCTCTCATCGATGTTTCTAACTCTCTATCCCTCTCCCTTCCTCTCTGTAAAAAATCAATAAAATATATATATTAAAAAAAGAAAATGATGCTTTGGCCCTAGCCAGTTTGGCTCAGTGGATAGAGCGGCCGGAAGGGTCCTGGGTTCGATTAGGGTCAAGGGCATGCATGTACCTGAGTTGCAGCAGCTCCTCCTGGTCCGGGCGCGTGCAGG